GATCGCAGAAAGTGTCAACTATTAAACATTAACCTCGGACGAATTACCCGCTTGAATCTTCGTCGTGAATAAGAAGAAACTCCGTAATTTTTGTTTTTTTATATCGATGTGCCAACGAGAACAATCAAAGATTGCATCCACAAGTTTTTAAACAGGATCGATGGATGATCCATTCACTCCTCGCGCGCCGTCGATCGTTTCCAAGCTTGTGATTTTTCGGAAGCGAATAAACAGTTACACCGACAGAACCAGCGAGACGTGTATGGTACTTACTTTTTTATGCGAAAGGAAATGATCTGGAACTCGGTGTAGAAAATGCGCAAGATCTCTCGAAAGAAAATTACAGGTCAGTTGTGTTTTCAAGGATCGAAATCCTGGGACGTTACGGTTCCAGGTCATTTATTTTTTGTTTTGTTTCGTTCTTCGCAGTCACGGATTCTGTTGGTGCCCATGAATTACACCGGAAGACCCCAGGCCACGAAGCCTCTTGGTCGCGGAAAGGTCATTATTACCGTTCTATGTGTCGTCGTAACCCTGAAATTTTAATTTCGTTCCCTTTTCAGTCTACTCGGTTCCGTTCGCGAGTTCGGACGTGTCAGATTATTCAGAATCAAAATTTAGCAGCTCACATGCCTATTTACCTCGAGCAACAAAGAATTTTGGAAACATATATGAATTTTTATCAATTTTATCATTAATTTCTATTTTTGACTGAGATCGATGGTATCAAAGAGTCTGAGGAGAACAATAACGCATGGTACAACACTTTCATGGTTTATAATAACTTAAATTTTTTTTATGAAAAATTAAAGAAATTTGTTTTTGTTTTTAATCACTTTGGCGACTAAATTTTGATTCTGGACCACTGTGCGATGCTCTTACGAATAATATCGTGAAGCGTGTAACAAGTGTTTGGTATTTTTTTGCTTTTGCTCAAGAATCGATGGCGAAACAGTGTCGTCGTCCGTTCCGAGTTCGGATATAATCAGTGATCGTGAGTTAACGTGACTCGAATCGTTTTGCACGAGATCCATTCTTCGCGTGATATCGTCGCGACGGAAAAAGCGAAAGGATTGAAAGACGGCACGTCTGTGCGTGTGTATGCGTGTGTTGTTTGTGCGTGTGGGGAACAGGAAACCGACAGAGAACGAACGAAACGGGGAGAATGAGAGCGAGAGAGGGTAATGAGAGAGAAAATCGCGTATAGGCAAAGTTGAAGAAGGGAAGAAAAGAAAATAAAAAAACAATATATTGATTATATTGCGTGGTACGAACAGAACTGTGATATTTTATTGTATAAATTTACGGTAAACAAAAAGAGAAACAAAAAAAGACGTGAAAAGAGAAACGATGATGAAATAACGAAGAACAAATCTCTGAACCGGGGATATACTTACGTAGAAACGGGATATTAACTGTATTTTACAATGAAGTGCATCCTTAAGCCATTTAAACGCAATCGTACGAGTATCCCTTTTAATGTTTGAGACGTTTTCGAATTATCGACGAAGGAAAGATTCGAAAAAAAAAGAAGAAAACATTTTCATCGGGGGGAGGGGGAAGCTTCAAATAGCCGTGAAATTAAACGAGCTTTCCGACGTGAAGATATGCCCCTCGGTTCCGGTCCATTCTCAACTGGAAAAGGAATACTCGGCCGTTTTTTTCGGGCCAATCGCGAATGCCCTAGTGTCTAATCGTTTCCTGTTTGTAAAGTATATATATAGATATATAATATAGATATATTATATATGAATTAAATGTTTGATAAGAGAGAAACAATGCGAGAAAGCGGTTACGACGAGAGAAGAGGGTCTCACTGCGCGACATGTTAATCGAAGCGATTTTAAACGGCACACACACACACACACACCAGAGAGAGATACACGCATATACACACATGAACACACAGTTAATAGCTAGAAGAGTAAGTAATTACGCTACGTATATAAAGTTTCGAAGGAAGATCAATTGTTCGCGCTACTGATCGTCCTCTGACCGAGAACCCCCGTGAATAAAGGGCGGAAAGATCATCGAAGAAAATTGTGTTTCCTAATCCCTTGCCGATCGAGCGACACGCGACGAGTGATGATCGTTTAATATTAAAGATCAACGGCTGTCAATTCGCGACGAGTGCTACTGTAAAACATTGTTACGAACGGTACTTGAAGATTGAACGTTTCTTTTTTTTAATTGGGCCGACAATTAGAGGACGTCTTTTAGGGATAAGAAGCGAGTATGTAATAATATCCCTATTATACTGCGGGAACAATCGTACGTGGTGACAATTTTAAGACATTGTATTTCTTCGAGAGTGGCGAAAGTTTGTACATACTTTTCACGAACGTTTCACAGTAGCATTCGTTGAAATCCTCGAGTATACAAGAAACCCCCTCCTCGCAGTATTTTACAACAGTGCGCTAATCTCGGAACGACAGCAGGACAAAGAGACGTTCTATCATGAAATGTACGAGCAATAAACTTTCAAAATTCAATGTCGTGAGAGAGAGAGATTGATAATGGTTGAGAGAGATCGATTCTCATCGAGATCGATGATAGAAATCGAGTATTTTACGGTGGCATTCTTGAACAAAAGATAGATCGAAATATGAGAACCATCGAAGAGCTTCGAGAAAAAGAGTTCATCGGATCGTAGTTGTACAGTAAACCATCGATGAGTGTTCGAAGGCTCCTCGACACTGGACATTAAGTATTTCATAAATTAATGGTCACGTGTGTCTATCGCTGTGTTGAACCTTATTAAAAAGTCAACGTTACACCTGGGGATCTCTCCTTGTCAGTGACAAGGAGCTTTCGAATACTCATCCATGATTTACTGTACTATGCTCGGGGCTAGGAGAACACTGGCCCCCCTCAAGGTCCCATGAGTTGAACGGCTAACCACACGATACACAAAATTTCCTGTCCCGAATACAATGTGTCCCGTCTTCGACATCACACGAAATCATACGTGCGTCCGTTCCCGTGGGAATCCAACCGTTTTTTTTTGTTCTTTTTTTGTAACCTCGAGCCGAGCCGGGAGATCGTGACAAGAGAGGAAAAGCGACCGCAACACGTTGTTCAGTCCCTAATTAATCGTCGGTCTGTGGCACCTTAATGAACGCGATACAACGAAACTACGATCATCGTTCCGCGTCCTATGTGTGTGTGTGTGTGTGCGTGCGTGCGTATGCGTGTGCATGTCGCGTGGGTGTATGTATGTTCGCCATCGAGTCGTAAACGCGGAACGTTGGTCGCGCGTGTCGAGCAAGAAGTTTCGTGAGTACGGAAAAGCGATCGCGGACAAATAACGAATAATAAAATCTTTCCGTAGCGAGCACGACCACGGTACAAAACGTAAAAAAGAACACACACACACAGAGAGAGAGAGAGAGAGAGAGAGAGAGAGAGAGAGAGAGAGAGAGAGAATAAAACGAAGGAAGCGAAGCGAAACGGAGTAACAAGGGAAATTGGGAAGCGCGCCCTCCGTGCGTTTGAAATTCGTACAGGAAGCGGGGAGGGGACCTATGCACTTCCGAAACGAAGACTTAGTGTACACAGTTTGATGCAACTAATCGATCGGCGAAATGTTCCGAAACGGACGCTTCTTGTACAAATTTCGCGGGAGACGAATTTCAATTGGTAGCAGGGGGAATCTTGAGCGTAGAGGAAAAACAATCGATCCCTGGCGGCTCAGGGCGTGAGAGAGACAGAGAGAAAGAGAGAAAGAGAGGGAACCGGTGTAAGGATTTGTCATTTTTGGTCCCCGTCCCTCGATTTCGAGTAATATCAGAAACGAAACTCGCGTTGTATTTATAGTCGATTTTCAGAATTTTTTGCGACCATTCCTTCTGGGCTCCTCGCGTTGTCCCGCGAGGACACGAAACCTTGTAAAAGAAGTCCAACCCCCCGCCCCCCCCCCCTCCCCTATCGTCGACACTAACTGTTCGTCCTTTTTAACAAATATAAACAAAACTTACGTCTTACTAATTATGAACGACGATCCAGAAAGCTGCTGCAATTCCACTTCATCCAGCGATCGTCAATTTTTTGTATAAATATAGCTGAATGATTAAAGATTTTGAATATAAGAGGAATTGCCTTGGCGTTCCGGGCTCGCAAAAGTGTGTTCTTCTCACTCTTCATCGAGTTATCTTTCAGTTGCGACTTTTGACGTAGCAAATTACTTTGAGGAATTCCATGTGAAATTCTGTATTCTTCTGTTAATTAAATCCTGAACCATTTTTTGCTTCTGTTCATTTTGTTGTGTGTAATTATAAAAAGCGTACAGTAGGTAAATATTAAATAGAGCTATGTAGAGTTGACTATAGAACATTCGTGTATTATTTAATTTTTATTAAAAGAAAGAGCCGAAAAAAGAGGCTTGGCCATTTTATAGATTGCGCTTGGATCCGAATGATCTGACAACGACATCTACGGAAATTGCTTGGAACCCGTTCGTCTTAGGGCATCAGTAATGCAGGAACGATCATCTCGTTGCACTTATGCAGTGTCTACAGTCGGTATAATGAGAAACTGTATGCATGCAGTCGGTTGCAATCGATATTTTAGGAAACTGCAATTCGTAGGAGACGATACAGCAGAAAAGAATATGGTTAGATACGAAGCGCACGCGCAATATTTTAGGCACAGAAGAGGTATATAGATTAGACCTAACATCTTATATATTGAGACTTTGTGTTGCATGTGCTGAAATACCCACCTATGTTCTCAAAATTCATACTTTATCGGCAACGTCGGGTATTGACAGTAAAATTGGACGAGAGCTATGTACATATATGTAGCCCCCCGGATCTTGGGGCAAAACAAACATTAGATGATAGGTCTATTCTATACCTAGTCGGTGGTCATAATCAGCTGATCAACATAGTCGAAAAGATGGCAAGCGTGCGACTGATCAGTTTCGTTGTCGGATAACTGTCAAAAAGGAGAGCGCGTACGAGCATTGTTCGCAATTGTTCGTTCACAGCGTCAACGGTACTCTACTCCAACGCATACATAAATAACTGGAATACATCATGACATTTCTTGAGGTCGGTCTGACATTCTGTTCATTTATTTAACGTGATAATTCTATACGTAACCTCAGTTATGACGCCCCGACTCTGAGTGTCCTGTTTATTTTTCAGTGGAGACGCTTCAATTTTTTCGACCTAAAGAAAGAGGTCGACGAAGGCAAGATTGCAAAAGCACTTGGAGTGAGTTTTAATTTTTAATTCGAACCGAATCCTTCAAATAGAATCGATTCGTACAGGTTAGATGATCGAAAGTATAACGTGTGGTCTGTTAACAGGACGCTCAAGTTACGGCAGCCACGAGCGGCAACGGGAACTTAGTCTTTGGAGATAATATAGGAAATGTGCATTTAGTTAATGGAACTTATGATGTTACCACCTTTCGAGCATACGAAATTACCTTAACCTTAGCTCAGCAGGTTCAACATTCCACTTTCTTGTTTACCATTGGTGTTAGTATTCTCTTAAAATTACTGTGTACTCGTTGCAAACATAACTATTATGAAAATATATATTTGTTTAGGAAGATGAACCTGGTTGTAATCCTACTATAAAAGTTTGGAATATTGCTAAGGCAGACAAACAATTAAATACAATATGTGTTCGTATAAGTAGGGCTATACCAAACTATAGGGCAGTTCCTGCAACTGCCTTGTGCGTGCATACTAGTTTGACTACAATGGCTATTGGGTTTGAAGATGGCTCTATAATGTTTTATAGGTAAATGTAGATTGTGTATTAACAGGAGCTAAAAAGTTTGGATATAAAAAAGCCAATCTCTGTTGCTCTTATCAGTTGTATTCCTTCGCTTGTTTAACAGAACTTTTGATGTTGTGTTGTTAATTCCTAGGGGTGACCTGACCAGAGAAAGAAAGAACAAGATAAAGGTGTTGAAAGATACAACTCTTTCTATCACTGGCCTTGCAATAAGGTCTACAGACAAACAGGATCATTTGTTTGTCGCCACACCAAACAGTGTCTTCTTATATGATGTTACTGTAAAGGATAAGGAATTCAAATTTACTTTGGACACTATGGGTTGTGAGAGGAAATGCAGTGTTCTTGCAGAGTCTATGCAAGATAGTCACTTCATGATTGGTCGCGATGATGTACTGAATTTATCAAAATTTTATTTCAAAGTACACCATAAACGTTGCGTTAATAAATCTGTTTTGTATTAGGCAATATATTGTTATACACCTGACGGTAGAGGTCCTTGCTTTGCGGTAGAAGGTCAGAAAATAATGTTAGAATGGTTCAGAAGTTACTTAGTAATTATAGCTAAGGAAGCTGCTAATGTTCCAAGAACGACCACTACCATCTCCGCAAAACCAAGGCAAGAATCTAATAAGTCTTTAATTGTTTCACAAAAAACGAACATAACTGTGAGATCTATATATTTATAGCACAATAGAACCAATACCACCAGGAGTAGATAAACATGTAATCACAGTACTGGACATACAGAACAAGTTCATAATATTTTCTGCATCGATGCTCTCTGTACAAGCTGTGTTATCAGAATGGGGTGGGATTTTTATACTTAGTGGAGACAGCAAACTTTATCACTTGGATGAAAAAGACTTGCAGTCTAAATTAGCCTTACTCATAAAAAAAAATTTGTACGACGTATCTATAAGGTACATAATATAATTTTAATTTTGCACCATCAAATATTATTTAAAATTGCACAACTCTTAGGATAGCCAAAAATCATCAGTATGATGCTAATGGCCTTGCCGATATATTCCGGCAATTCGGGGACCATTTGAATTCAAAAGGAGATCGCATTGGTGCAATAGAGCAATACATAAAAACGATTGGAAAATTAGAACCTTCTTATGTGATCCGAAAATACCTGGACTCTCAGCATATCGATAATTTAACAACTTACTTACAAGCTTTGCATAAAAACGGTCAGGCAACAGGGGATCATACCACATTGTTGCTCAACTGTTACACAAAACTAAATCATACGGATAAATTGAAAGAGTTCATCATGGTAATAAACTGATAATTTCATTTAAATATTATTCAGGAATTTATGGTTCTTTTTTTTATATGACAATTCTAGACAAAAGATAGGGAGGTCGATTTTGATGTTGACATTGCGATAAAAGTCTGTCGTCAAGCATCACCCGAAGACGCTTTGCTTCTCGCTCAGAAGCATGGTCGGCACGAGTGGTATCTTCGTATTCAAATTGAAGACAAACATGAATACAAAAAAGCATTAGAGTATATGGCAACGTTGGAGTTCGAAGAAGTATGTTTGTACATCCTTAAGATTCATCAAAAATTGCTAATGTTATTGCAATATTCTAGGCAGAGCCTAACATGAAGAAGTACGGCAAGATTCTTATAGAAAATGTGCCAGATGAGTCTACGCAATTTCTGAAAGCATTGTGTACCAATTATAGGCCCTCCAATAAACCTCTCGTGGATCAGGTAAAACTGGGATCAGTAAACAAGGAAAAACACGTGGATGTCATAATAAAGCTAACTCAAGTAATATATTACATTCAGGAAACTTTAGACGGTAACATGGCATATCAAGATATCGATAAAGCGAAGCCTGAGGATTATATTCACCTGTTTCTCAATCATTCAGAGCGGCTGGTAGAGTTCTTAGAGCATCTTGTGAAAACATATACCAAGTATGTTACCTTAAATATTAAAGAAGAGTAGTACATGTTATACTAATCTAAATATATTATCTCAGGTGTAGTACTTTGGTATATAACACTTTAGTGGAACACTACCTCCACGTGTGGTCAGCGTTAGACAATGATGTCGCCAAAGTGCAATATGAACAGAAGATTGTTCGGCTTCTGCAAAACTCAGAGGCGTGTTACGATAAAGATCAGATTTTAATTTTGTGCCATCAACACAATTTCAGACGCGGTCTACTGTTCCTTTATGAAGAAAGTAAACTGTATGTTGAAGTAACTTCCATAACATTCTGTTTAGAAACTCCGCCTTATGATTTATATTGTCAATAGATATCAGGAAATATTACGGTTTCATTTACGGGAAGGAGACAGTGAACAAGTTCTAGCTACTTGCAAACGATTTGGCCATCAGGATCCAAATCTATGGGTCCAAGCACTATGGAGTGTAGCCAGGAACAAAGAAGCTCCTCCTAAGCTTCTCGCAGATATCCTAGCTTATATAGGTGTAGTTGAAATCTATCGTTATCTCTTTCTCATTCGTGTCATACAACTTTTCTGATATTATTGTTATTGTTCATATTATCCATTATCCACAGCACAAGAAAGACTTTTACCTCCGCTAATGGTTGTTGATGCGATTTCAACCTCACTCTCCTGTACCTTGGGGGATGTCAGGATTTACTTGAATAGTGTACTGCGAACGGAACGCGAACAAACACAAGCAGGCATAGAATTAACTGAAAAGTATCGAGCAGATACTCTAAAAATACGAGAACAAATAGAATCCATTAAGAACAGCACGATCATCTTCCAAGCATCGCGTTGCAGCGCGTGCCATCATCAGTTGGAGCTACCATCGGTACATTTCATGTGTCAACATTCTTACCATCAACAGTGAGTTTATTAACACAAGAAACGGAGGTAACTTTTCGAGTTATTCCAATTATTCTTTATCGCTTTAGCTGTTTCGAAAGTTTCTCCGAGAACGAGAATGAATGTCCAGCCTGTTTACCGAATAACAAAATGTTGTTGGACATCATAAAAGCACAGGAACAGTCACGAGATCTCCACGAGACGTTTCACAGTTTGCTTGATCGAGCAGAAGATCCGTTCTCGTTAGTTGCCGATTACTTTGGCCGAGGAGTGTTTAAAAAGTTAATGGTGATCACTGATACAGATAAATCATTATCAACAGTCTCCACGAAATTTGAGGAACCAAAGCCGAATTATGGACCGGGAGCGGAAGCGAGAATTAGATTGACTGAGGGAAAGAATTCGATCCTCGGTACGTATAAATTTTTAATAAAACTTATTATTATTGCTTGACGTACAGAATAATCTTTAGAATCTTAAATAATTAGGAAAAACCGAGACTCGTCGTCCCGTTGACAATGTTCCCGCAGCGGCAGAGGATCGCTTGCGATCTTTCCCGAAATCAGACGTATATTCCTCATCGTTAGAAGCGAATATCTCTGGTACCGGAAGCGGTGTGTCAACTCCCCGCGGAAACTCGAAAAAAGCTTCACCAGTGCCCATGAGATATTTACCTATGTTAAGTAATACTCCGCCAAAATCATCGCCGGTACAGAAGTCTTTCGTACCACCAAAAACACCTATCGTATCGACCAATCCGTTCGAAACAGATAATGACTCCGATCAATCGAAGAATCCATTCGCGGATGACATAGACGATGACGAGGAGGATTGTGTTAACACCGTTAATGATGATAACGACGATGAAGACCATAATAAGAATTTAAATCCTTTTTGTAGATAAATTGCATTTGTTTTGTACACCTATCAATCTCGTGAATAATCAGTAAGTAAATGAGACTTTACTATACAGACTAACAACCGTCGAGGCTTATAAGAAAAGGCATAAGCGTTGTTCTTACATGTAATGTAAATTGATTCGATAGATTCAACTTATCTTGGATTACTGAGATTTCCGTCGAGGATGCAACCTAGTTCTTTCGTGTAAATGTGTTACGAATTTTGTATTATTTTTTCATCGCGTATGTCATACGATAACTATATCCTTTGTTGCTTCGCGTGATTTGTAGTATAAATATACTCGCGTCGATTGATAAGAATTTCATATGAAACATGAAACATTATTTGTATATTAAATGGTTTATTGTATATATTGCTTTGTACCGCGTTTTAAATCTCAACATATATCCACAGAATATCTATTGAGGTAACGTAATTCGATCATTACTACTATTATTAGTATAATAAATTCGTCACATTTTATCAAAAGATGCTTTCTACCAAAGTAAGTGTTTTCCAAATAGCAATTAATAAATAACTTATGTATAAAAATGAATGAATATGTTATACATGGTCCAAACGATGTTTCCATTCAAATATCTTATCACTTATTTTGAAAGGATTCCAACTGTCTACAACTTCTGCTGCCCTTGGTTTAATAGATACTGCAGTACAATATTCTTCAGTCGATTCTGGTTTGAAGAAGTCTGACAGTATTGGTACAATGTCTCTTTGCCGTGGCTCTGGATCCTTACTACGAGTTAATCTGCTAGGCAGTTGTTTCTCATCTATGGACAAGTCCATTAAATTTTTGTAGACAGCTTCATCAAGAGGGAAATCCAAGGCACTGGAAATCTGTAAAAGAAAAGAAGATATTTTCTGATGCTCTGTTGTAAGAATTTTATACATACCTTTCGATTTATAAAATTCTTATAAGATGCTCCTAAATGCTCAAAGTCAACTACAACTTTCTCCTGCTTCATTTCATTCAATTTATTAATTGTACACATTATTGAATTGTACTCTGGTCTTGCTAATTTTTCACCAGATGTATGTAGTTTTGTAGAAGCATTTTTATCAGTATCTAGACCTTTCACATCTTGTCTTTTACGTGGTACTCCTGGTCCAATGTAAGGTTTTACTTTGGGACCAGCTACATCCCTTATCATAATCTTTTTTACATGGGAAGTCTTAGTCCTAGATGTTACTGTACCATATTTATGACATGGCATCACATCAACAGACTTTGTTTTTGCTTTTCTGGATGCAAATGAAATGGTAGATGCTCTAGATTCGTTCATTTTTTTACTGTCAGTACTACTTAAGCAAGGTTTAACTTTGCATACTATAATCTTTGAATCTGAACTTTTTTTAGTGGTACTATTAATATTTTTTTTAGCCATCAATGCATCATTTTCTTTCCCCTTTTTACGTTTCATGTAGTCTCTCTTTACAATAGCAGACTTAACAGAGTTCTGTGACTTAAGAACTTCATCCAATGTTTCTTCTTGTACAATAGGTGCCAAAGAAATTGCTGTAGTATCAATAGAAGATTTATCAGATTGTTTGTTCTTGTCAGCCTCTTTAGAATTTAATTTGGCACATTGACTATTATTTAAATTACTTAATGGTTTCTGAGTTCCAGCTTTACAAGAAGTATTAATTAAAGGAGAAGCAATTTCTTCTGTACAAGAATCAGTTGCATTATTACATCCTGGTGGTGATTCAATTTTTTTAGTACAATCAGAACTCTTTGAAATTTTACTTTGAAGATTGTTAGACACTATATCTGATTTCAATAAAATAATAGGCTTATCCAAAGTTACAATACTTCTAATTTTCGGTTTACTCAGGTGGTTTGCATTTTTTTGATCTGTTGAATTTTTTAATTCCTCTTTATTTAATTCATCGGCATCTGTTTGACAAAATCTAACTTTTGGTCGAAAAAAGAATTTAGTGTTCTCAGACATTACGAAAAAATTGAATTTAAAAACACAAGATTTCGCAGTCTCTGTAAATTTGACAGTAGTTAGAAGGGTTAAAAGAATGTCAACAATATAACCTCCATATACCCCGTTGTTTTCAAAGTTGTCGAACAGTCATAGGAATTTTTACGGGGCTACCAATTTCATGACAGAATCATTACGTTTGTTTCGCGGGAATTACCCGATTCTCAATTCTTCCCGGCTTTTGTTTCATAAATGTAGGTTAGTCGATCAAAGTATATACGATCGTGTTCGTTGCGTGTTCAGTGGTACTGCAGTTGTTTCACTATTAATTTAATTGTGGTTCGAGCTATTTAGCAACGATTGTGGTATTTATGACGAAAAATGCAGCACGCACACAAGAATATGGAGCCATTCGTGGTAATTTTGTCGTCAATTATTCGTATTTTGTCTTTCTTTTAATAATCACTGGTTCCAGGAGGTTAGAGTTATTGTAATAATTCTAATACCGCCGCGTAACGTTTTCATTTGTTTCACAGAATCCTGACCACCTGCCCTTGGAAAAATTAAAATTAGAGATTAAGTCCGACGGTGTTGTGGAATACGTTGATGCTCTGGTATGTTCACATATAAAAAATGTTTTCGAAGATATCAAATGGAATTACATACTTATTTCATTAACAGATTGTATTATCTTCACTCCTTGATTATAAGTTATAGTAGTCGATTGTTTTACATTGTTTAAAAATAGTTGTAATAAGTAGATTGCAAATTACATTCTTATGAATTAATGTACAGGAACTGGAATTAACTAGAAATTTGTTTAATTCATTAAAGATTCAATCAAGTTTTAAATAAAATGGAGACTGATAAACTTTATTACTGTTTTTATAAAATTAAATGTTAGACTAGTATAAATACATAAAATTTTCAGTTTATATACTTTTTCGTAGAGTAATAGGTGGATAGATGATCGTTATTTTTTATATTACGAATCCCCTAACATTTATAATGAAGATGGTTCAGACATTATTGGGGCAAAGGAACGTTGGATGGAAGTCTGTAATTACATGATCAATGATTTAAAATGGTTACTTAGTCTTCCATTTTTTAGGTGAGCATATGTGATTATTCTAGATTAAAAATGTTTATTAATTCTTCCATGACATTAGAAAGCAATTCTGATTTATAATAGCAGAATCATTAAAGGCTTTTATGCCCACCTTGTTTATTATAAATTATTTATTTAGATTCTGGTCGAACATTGTATACAATACCTCAATAGTAGATGCATTGGTATCTTTTCTACAAGGAGCACCGCCATTTTATGATTTAGAGTATTTCCCAAAGTATCCAGAAATGTTGGAACTTTTAGAAACACTCAGCTACTATGTACTTGTGGTTTTCACTCGTCTTATTACAAACAAGGACAGCCCTGGGGAGTATATGGGCAAAAAGTTCCTTGGAAATTTATTATATGAAAAGTATATATTTACAATACCCATTATCTTTGATCTCTGTCAGCTTTATGGCAGGGAAAATGAGCAAGTAGTGAAGAAAATTTTAACCTGTTTGTTTGCATTAGAGCCACAATACAATAATGATTTACAGAAAGTTGTTCCTTGTCTCATACAGGTGAGACATGAATATATTTAAAATAATTAATGGCTCTATAAATTGAACTGAACATTGTTATTGTTTCTTTAGGCCCTTGAAAATGTTGAAACGAAGTTTGGTCATTGTTCTGTTCATAATACTGGTGAAGCAGTTTTACTGTCCAAACAAGATACCGGTTCTAAAAAACTGACATTATTTACGTTACAGGATCTGATAATATATGTATTAGATACATCATCAACAATTACAGTGTTCTTAAAAAATTATCCTCTAGCAGTGAGTATGTTTCAGAGAGAGGATTTTATGAACAAGTGAGTATATTAATTAACAATTTCACTTGCTCTGGCCATTTTTTAATTGTCTCTTTTATCTATTGTTACTTAGAATTGTTTCAATATATGAAAACGTAATACCTGAAATGTATAAAAACTTAGATAAGGTAAGACGTAATGATGACGACATGCCAGAATATATAGAGATAAAACATCGATTAGATGTATCGAGGATTGAAATATTGAATCTGTTTCGAATTATTTTATATGATTCCATACAAAATGTACAAGATAACATGTAAGTGTGTGTGTGTGTGTGTGCGTGCGTGTGTGTGTGTATTTTCGAATTATTTTATATGATTCCATACAAAATGTACAAGATAACATGTAAGTGTGTGTGTGTGCGTGCGTGCGTGTGTGTGTGTGTATGTATGTATATTTAAAGTACTAACAGTGTATTCTATGTTAACAATGAAAGAGGCGCATAATTATGGATTTATGTTTAGAAACACAGTATCAGAAGGGGAAGTAAAAGAACAAGTGGAAAAATATCTTATTTTTTTAACAAATGCCATTTCTGAGAAAGAATTCATTACAGATTATGACCAATTTTATCCAGTTACATCTGATCTGGAAACATTGACTTCCATTTGCCCTGAAGTGGTGTATCCTTTTTTAAATCGATATAATCATATTATCTTAATTAAAACATTAATATATTGTGACTGATTCAATACTTAACAAACATTTAGTGATACAGTAAAATGTGATTACATATCGCGATCAATAAGAGCCATTACTGGAAAATCCATTGTTCCATATACTGCTTCCTCTAATCAAACAGATGTAAGTAGAAGAGGCGTAAGAAAAATTTCTTTTAAAATTCTCTCAAAACATTGTTTTTTATAGGAAGCTGTGGCTGGACCAAGTGGTGTTCAAAGTCAATTACCAATATCTACTATCAATATACATTCTCAAAATCAGAAAAAACCTATGACGAAACACTCTGATGAGTTAGCATGCAAAATTTCTGAAATAAAAGATCTCTTCAATGATCTAGATGAACAATTTATTGAGGTAATAATTTTGACATTGTAAAGAAGAAACGTTGCTATATATGTAAAAGTGTGTGTAACAAAAGTCATCCTTGCATAGATGTGCTTGAGATATTACGATAACGATACTGTGGCTGTGGTAAATGCTGTATTGGAAAAAACTTTACATCCCGAATTGAAAGAATTACAGGACTTAAAAGCTGTGATAAACAATCCACCACCCGATTACATGGTATTCAAACAACGTCCTCACTTCGTGTGTATGAACAGTAATTTTGTATTACCCAACGCGTACGACAATTTGTCTAATTCTTGTAGGAAGTATCAGCGAACGAAGATATTGAAACTCTGAATCTGTTCAAGGATAATGATGATCACGTTCGTGTTAAAAATCATAAAGTCATCGAAGTGTCTAAAGATTATATGCTGAAGAAGTAAGTATCAAAGAATGAATAGAAGTGATTCACTTTTACTCAGTAATGTGATATATAAAAAAATATTTATTTGCCAATAAAAACCGTGTACAATAACATCGATGAAACTACATTAATTTCGTGAAACTTAACATGAAACAAAACTTGTTACAGTTACGACCTCGTTCCGGATGAGTACGACGACGAATATGACGACACATACGATGATCATGACATACGCGGTGCTGAAAATAATTCCGTTGAAATTGATTCCCGACCCTTTACTACACCTAGAGTTTGTGCTCCCTTTTAGCTTAACAATATCAGTACATTCGGATGTATGAATTAATTAAAGATATTTCCCGCAATTATAGATACTCCGTGAAAAGCAAAATATTGAAACAGTTAACGAAATAGAATCGGAGGATGATGATGATGCAGGGCCAGAACAAAATGGCAGAGACTGTTTTATACCGAACCCGGCTGAGTTACGCGCTAAAGCTAATCAGCGAATGGAAACTGTACGAGGCAGGAGAGGTTCAACCAATGTGATTGGTAAATTTTATTTATTAACATACTACGACGGTTATTTTTGAGACGGGTGTAATCCATGTCCTATTGAAAAAATGATCCTAACGTTCTGTCAACAGGGGGTAAGCCTTAAACCTCTGATGTTATCGTAATGTTTTCACGTTAAATTGTAAACCTTGTACTGAGGCTGTGTCTAAAAAGTTAACAATTGTATGCGTACTTTTCATTACACAGGTAAACCGAAGGGTCAAGGGCAAGAGAAGAACGTCATGTACAGTAGGCAAGAGAAGAACGCTCACAAAGCGACACGTGGTAATCACAATCGTCGTTCAGGTGCGAATTGGAAAAGAAATCAAGGAATGTTTCCAGCTTAAATCTACCAATACTTTTACAATATCAGTGTAAATACTGCCATTTGATAAATACATTCGTACCTCCATGCCAATTCCATGTCCATATCCAGTCCTTTCAGTAATTATAGTATTATATTTCATTGAATTGTTAGTAAACTGTTCCAGACATTTAATGATTCTTGACAATGATAAGAGCTCTTATTCTGTTTATCTCATTAACCACTGACTGTTGATACTCGTCTTCGGGTACCATGGCACTGGATGGCGATCCCGAAACGTTTGAAACTGGCATTAAATGTGTGAATAACTTTGTCGTGCTCCCATAGTAGTCTAACTGTATCGTGATTAAAGCGTGTACACTGGGCTTAATGTATTCTAATCTCTTGTCTAGAAACGCTGGCAATTCAATAAGCAATTGAGCATGGAAAGTCTTCAGGTCTTTTGCAACTGCTTCTTCTGTCCTTCGTTCTCTTTCTAACTTTGCAATGTGATTAGCAGTTCTGTCTTTCTTCTCCTGTAACTTCTTGACTCGATTGTAAGAGTATTTCCAATTAGTGACTAGCTCTTCACGTTTAGCTATTGCGGCAGCTATTAAAGCAAACTCGTCTCGTAATTTTTTCAAAGGTTCAATGAAAGTTTTCTGACAAAGAACTGCCATTTCTTGCACAGTCTCTCCAACCTTTTAATGAAGAGGGAAACTTAACTTTGTTGAATATGCAAGGGATTTACCATGTAAACATACCTGTGTTGTAACAGAGTGATAGTCTTCTACTATCTTCCTAAATTCATCACTGAGATGAGCTAGACCACACGTGGTCAGATTTACTGTCAGTCTTCGATCTGCTCGATCTAAATTCAGAACAGCTTCTATATACTTCTTCATTTCTTTTATCAGTTTTCTAATTGTATCTTCAAGACTTTAAGGAAATAAGAAGTACGAATAAGACAAATATTACTTTTGCACAATATTTTAATGAATTTAATAATCACTTAATAAGTATTTATTTAGTTGTATGAGTACATACTTAATGAGTCTTTGAACAGCAATATCAAGCTCCCTATCCTCTGCATGGGATAACAGAGACTGTGCTGGTGTAGGTCTCTGTGTTAAGTGATTCTTTTTTAAAGGATTCCTATGCGAATTATAATAATTGCAAATATTATTGTGTTAACCTCTTTGAATTAATATGGATTCGTGGACAAGTTAACTTACTTACCACGTCATATTACACACGTACTAAAAGAATTCAAATATTATATTCAATCGACCACGGTGATCTATTTAAATAAATTCCCACAATTACTTATAAACTTGTTGCACTGGTAGATTCTGCATTTTATATATTGAGAATCACTCTTACTGTTATCTATAATTGATATGGTGACTCTCGGGATAAGATGATTCGCAGCTTCCATGTACTAATTCAGATGGTTTATTATCTGTTTAAATAATATGTCGCATATTTCATTAATATTTGGGTACACGGGAATTTAGAAATATTTTAATCTGACATAATGGTTTCTAACCTTTGGTGACTTTTCTTACCAGTTACACATTAATTCTATTCTCTGTGTCTCTAGTAAGGGGTGTTACAAACAGGTAAATTATTCAGTTACATGAAAACAAAGTTTATTTATGTATTTATTTTTTGTACAAACTGGTCTTACAACAATTGAAATATTATTGATACAATATATTTCAATGCTTCTTAAATTATTTTAAACTGCTATAGCTGAAATGTGCAGGAGTAAATTAAAGCTTAATGATCTATGATTATTAATTCATCTATGCCCCAATCTTCATAACTGTTGTCAGGTAAATAACGTCTTATGACTATTGGAATTTTCCTCTGCTTTAATTCTTTCATTGCAATTTGTAATGGATCTGTTTCTCCTTCCAACTCTACCATTACTGGAGCACACATGGCTATCTGTAATGCCCTTGTCCCTAACACTCTTGCCCGCTCATACCTGTAAATATACAATTACCATTTTCATATACGCACCCTTTATAGAAGCAAATTCTAAAGTGACTTACTTTGTCATGTATCTTGTTGTAATCCGTTTTGACCTTTGCACTCCACCAGTAGCTTCACCAGCAGCCAACAGTTCTATATTCTCTCCATCTTCTTCTTGAGGCTCTAACTCAATGTTGTCATCATCATCGACATCATCAAAGTCATCTGCTACTCTGCAAAAAATGAAATTCAGCATAACAATCATTCCAGATAATTCTGTATTACTGGCATATTCACTTGGAACTATGATTAGTATGATACAGTATTAAGCTCTACATGTACATACAAAAAGAAGTATAATTTCTTCAATCTTACATTGCCTTAATTTTATATTGTTATTACATTTGTAGGTTATGTTGTGATCATTAAGACTGGCATTGTACGTTATCTTTACTTACTCGTCTCCATCAAAATCGTCATCTGCCATACTTTTTTATCAAACAATGTACAATATAAATGTCCTAAATATAACAAAGATGTGTGTGTAATTAGCCTATTTTGTTTGTCCCTACAGAACCGCAACCCAGGATGTGAGATTCAAGATTTAGTGGAGACTAGAGAGGCAAGCAAAATCACCAACGGTGATTTATCACACGCATGTACACACACATGTGCACACCTACTCCACCCGGGGTTCCATGACCCCACAATCTCATCGGACGGGGTATTTGGCACCAGCTCCGGGGGTTCTATGACCCCACGTTCTCAGCGGATAGGGTCCCTGACGCGTCTACCGGGGGTTCTATGACCCCACGAACTCACCATACGGAGTCCCTGAGAAATTGGGATTCATGGGACATACTAGTGGCGCCCCCCAAAAAGTGGGTGGCGAAAGTTGGAACTAAATCCAAAACTTCTTCGATAGTAGATTTTCTTTATTTACGAGATGGTGGTTAGTAGATTTAGTAGTTACCGGACGGTGGTTAGTGGCTACTAACCACCATCTCGTAAATAAAGAAAATCTACTAACCACCGTCCGGTAACTAATAAATCTACTAACCACCATCTCGTAAATATAGAAAATCTACTAACCACCGTCCAGTAACTGCATAATCTACTAACCACCGTCCAGTAACTACTAAATCTACTAACCACCGTCTCGTAAATAAAGAAAATCTACTAACCACCGTCTCGTAAATAAAGAAAATCTACTAACCACCGTCCAGTAATTACTAAATCTACTAACCACCATCTCGTAAATAAACAAAATCTACTAACCACCGTCCGGTAACTGCAAAATCTACTAACCACCGTCCGGTAACTGCAAAATCTACTAACCACCATCTCGTAAATATAGAAAATCTACTAACCACCGTCCGGTAACTGCAAAATCTACTAACCACCATCTCGTAAATATAGAAAATCTACTAACCACTAACACACAGTAACTACTGGACGGTGGTTAGTAGATTTTCTTTATTTGCGAGATGGTGGTTAGTAGATATATTAGTTACCGAACGGTGGTTAGTAGATTTTCTACATTTACGAGATGGTGGTTAGTAGATTTATTAGTTACCGGACGGTGGTTAGTAGATTTTCTATATTTACGAGATGGTGGTTAGTAGATATATTAGTTACCGAACGGTGGTTAGTAGATTTTCTATATTTATGAGATGGTGGTTAGTAGATTTATTAGTTACCGGACGGTGGTTAGTAGATTTTCTATATGTATGAGATGGTGGTTAGTAGATTTATTAGTTACCGGACGGTGGTTAGTAGATTTTCTTTATTTACGAGGTGGTGGTTAGTAGATTTATTAGTTACCGGACGGTGGTTAGTAGATTTTCTTTATTTACGAGAATCCTACTTACCAGGCAAAGACTAAACACGTCCGATATCTGGCTTCTCAATAGAAACCAGAGGGATCGGCAAACAGTCTTAGTTAAATACAGTAAAATCGTACATATGCATTATTTATTCAACCCAGTAATTAATCCACTCCTATTACTAACTACAATTTATATAAAAAAAAATAATTTCTGCCACCAGGTGGCTACTATAATTTTGGCAAAATTTTTGTTTTTCAGGTACTTTATTTTTAACGTTTATTTACGGAAAAGTGTAAAGATCAAAACACCTTTAATTTTACATCGTATAAGGTATATTATTTATTATATCTTATTTACATTCAACATCGTCTTGACAACACCATAGGAAAAATGTTTTTAGACACATTCCAAAATTTGTCGACATTAACCCTCTTATTGCATCTGTTGCGCTTTGTCGCATTGTCTTCATATTTTTTTATTCATTTTCGCATATACTTTTCTTACAATGAATCGAGGACACACGGTGGCGATTTCGCTGAACCAATTGTTTGTGAGAACGCTGTTCCACGAGTATACATAAATTATGATGCGTGTACGTGTGATAGTTATGTTGCGAGCTATTTATAATATATACGGGACGGTACCTGTGTGCTTTGTCTTCTCGCGAATTTTCAATATAATGTTTTTTTAACTTTTACACTTTCCTTTCTCTTTTTTTCTTCTTTCGTTTGCTTTTCGTTTTCGAAGCAGGTACTTTGACAAAGTTCGCTGTAAACAGACCGGTGGCAAAAAAGAGAAAAAAAAGAGAAACCCGAAACAAACGGAAAACAAAATGGCGGAGAATGAAACAACGCGCGCTAAGTCGCTTACAGAGAAAAAAAAAGAAAAATGAAAACGCTTAACTAATCGATAACATAGCTGCTTAGAGACTCGACGATCGTATCTATGATGTTGTGTGGTTCCCGTTTTTACAACCATTCGTCCCTTTTTTCTTTACTGTTTCTTGGTATTTTTTTGTTCTCTATACAATAGGGCGGAGCTTTTCGAAAAGCACCGTGGTAAGGAAATAACTGCGTATTCTCTTTCTTTCTCTCGTCTCCTTTCGCATAATTCTAGCGAAGGTAAGTAGATAAACCTACGACAATTAGAACGTTCGTTTTAATTTAGTCAGATCTCTAAACAATAAATAAGGCTTTCTTTGCTTTTAATAAATAGTAGTACAGAAAAAAGTGTTAATCGAGTAAAAAAGGCATTAAGTAAAAAAAGGGGGTGAAGAGTGGGTATGGTGTGGCTCGGGTTTTCGTTTACAGGACGAGGCTCTCCGATGAATTCTCTCTTTCGTTTGTCCGTCGCGCTGCGTTTCTTCGACAGAAAGAGCGTTTATGGATTACTTGCACGAACAGAAGCCGCAACTAATAACGGTAATGATAAGAATAATAAGAAACAGGTGGATGAACCAATGGTACGCGGGGTTTGGCGTTTAGGAAGAAACAACCGATACATGTTCGTTCGCGCGAGAATCGATGAGACTTTTGATTTACGTTAACGGACATACTTTTATCTTTTCTATCGCTCTTCCTTCTCTTGTCTCGAATCCTCATCTCTAGGATATGGAAAAGGCTCTAAGAGATAAAAGGAGAGAGAGAAAGAGTGAGAGAGAGAGAGAAACAGAGAGAGAAGGAGAGAGAAAGATACAACGTAAATACATCGACACGAAGTACGATCGAAAGCTTTGAAAGTGTAGGGCGGTCGTTAGTGGAACAACTGTAGAATGAAGAAAATGAAGAAAAAGAAGAAAAAGAAGAGGAGGAGAAGGAGGAGGTGCAGGAAGAGGAGGAAGTAGGGAGAAACAGAGACGATTACTGTCGGGTAATTAGGAGGATTGGAGAAGAAGAGGGGTGTGGGTGGGTTAGCCCTGAGTCGGGCCTGGTTCGAAAAATCGAAATACTCAAAAGTGGAAATCGAAAAGGTCTCTCTAATAAGATATCCTTTACGCTCTAACTAATTATCATCTGCTCGTTTCGTGCCTACGATCGTGTGTAATATCGATAGAGATCTATGAAATCTAAATATTAAATCCGCTGAAACTATCGACATTCTCAAAACTTCAGGTCGCACTCGCAGGTTCGTCGCTAGACACAAAGAGTTACAGCTGAAAGAGTTCTTAAAAACCTTTTCCGTCGGTTTGGCGTTTTATCGGCAAGCTCTCCCCGGCCGAGCAAAACGAAAGCTTTCTCGCTACGCCCGTGTCTCGTGTTCGTTTTCGTTTAATTCGGCCGTCGTCGGAGCGTTCCCTTTCAGACGGGTTCTTTTCGTTCGGCTGGGAGGCCGCACGTCGCACGTCACCTCGCAACGCTCTTCTTCACCTCAACTTCTTTCGTTTTTTTTTAATACGAACATTTAGGAAGATAGCGCTATCGATAATTAATATCTTTCTGAAATTTGTTAACATTCTCTATATAAAAATCTGCATTTGCGTGTATTTCGCTTATTGCTTCTTAAATCGTCGCCATTCTTTCCAGTAGCTTACCGGGTTCCCGTTTCTCCCTTGAAACAGGGAGGACTCGCGGTCGCCGCGCGGCATTTCGTTCCGTTCCGCTCGGCCGCACGACGAACTCGAGCCTCCAGGACCCTTCCGTCGTCGCGTTTGTTCGAATGCGAACGGAACGCGACTTCGAGGAGAGTACGAATCATCTAATCGAAAGGCTCGAGGACGCGGCATGGATCGATCCGAAAAACCGGCCAAACTAATCTCGTTTTCTTCCGCTCTCGGTTCACCCCCTAATTTTTCCGAACCGCCGTCTCTCATGGGTAAGTAGGCTGATACATATACATAATGTCGGGAGGGTTTTTCGACGCGGTCCATCGCGGCCTCGGCCCCCTTCCAACTATATCCCTATATCGTATTTCGTTAAATTAAGAATAAAAATTCCCTTTTGGTCCGCGGCGGACACACTGGGAAGCGTTTTCATCGACGAGCGTGTTCGTCTTTCGACAAGGGTGTCTCCCGGGGTGTAGCAGTCTTAAAAATCAGCGAACGCGGGTCCAACGAGATACAGACCATCCGTCGCGATGAAACGAGCCTCGATTCCCCCTCTAACCGACTCGGTCGCGATCGTCTGAAAGAAAAATTCATTCTCTAATCGTCGACGCGCGCGCCGTTATCATCGTCCCTCGTCTCCATTTTTTTTTCTTTTTTTCTTCTCTCTCGAGCAATCGATTTTGCTTTTCCTTTCCCTCCTTCGATATACGCCTTGATATGTTCACGTTGTCGGGGGACGCGTACGACGATTCTTCCGCTTCGTTTATCCTCCCAATAAAAAATCTATGTTTCTCCCCAATTTTCTCCGCGCTTTTCTCCCCTACATACCACGCGCGCACGCTCGTTCTCCCTTTATCTCCCGTCATTGGCACATGGTTCCCCTTCCTCGACGATGGCTATCTTACGCGGACAGCGAACGATAATACACCCAGACGAGGATAATACGCTACCGGCAGTCGTGTGTGTCCGATTCCGAATTATTCGAATTACACCGATTCGCATTATTGGGTCACTCGCTGACTTCTCTATCCGAGAGAGAGAGAGAGAGAGAGAGAGAGAGAGAGAGAGAAAGTCTGTCTCTTTCGCGAACGTTTGTATCGTTTGTGCCGTGGAAGCTTGCGATAAATTTTAGGATCGCATGACGACGACGGGTCGCCTTTCTTCTTACGCGGTGTAATTCTATCGGCAATATAATAAAAAATTGCTCGTATAAATAAATAGTACGATTGAAAATAGACAAACGAATTTCACGAAGTCACGTTTTTCCGTTACAGAGTACAGTTAGAGGAAAAATTCAAGAGCCGCTGAAGGATATCGTCGACGACTACCCCTGCGGCTTCACGTGTGTCCCTTCAGTTTACCACGGCCATAACCGTATATTCATCATTCTGGGATGCATAGAATCGAGGTACAGCTTGTGTACGAACAGTTTTTTCGACGCAATGGTCTCTACCGTTCGAGATCGTGCTCGCGGTTGATCGGCTCGATCACCGTCCGACGCGAAAGGACAACACCGTGACAGAACGGATCGGTGGGAACGGTGTATAGAAACGGGGAAATGGAGGATGGATGGATGGAGGAGTTGGTCGATGAAAAAGGATGAAGTCCTCGTCGCGATTAGCAAAATCGAGGCCGTTTTCGAGCGGGTCTCGGGGTCTGCGTCGGTTGCGTGAGCAAAGATTCAGTTCGCGCGTTGGACAGTCTCGACGGTGAGTAGAGAACAGGCTTTCGTTGAATGGTCTGTCTGTGTGGGGAAATGGGTCGTAGAGGGTCGATTCCCCTGAGTGTCGAGCGCGATACCTGTCGCGGGCGTGTGTACCTCGCGAGGGTATCGTCGCGTGCACGGTTCTTTCCTAGGTTAGAGGCAGGGAAGAAAAGTCGACGGGAAGAGGCCGACTACAGCTGGGTTCGCTCGGTTGTATGTCTTTTAGGCCGTGTCGTGGTCTATTATACGATCGTTGGTGACGTTACTTAGTCGTCGGGAGAGACGAAAAGTCCTGGGGCGGTGTTCCGTCGTCTCGAGGGGGTGGAACAAGGCCACCTCTTTGAGCTCGATCGGTGGAATGTGTGCGCGGTTGGTTCTCTTCTCGGGGGTTCTTCGATTCCTCGCTTGTGGCGAACGATGCCTCGTTTCTACGAGAACGCGTTGTTCTGGTCTGTCGTCCTGACTAGGATGATGTACAACACCGCCTAGGATCGTCGTCCAACACGATGGAACCCCCTCCCCCCCCCCGCAGCGGCGTGAGATCGTCTCGAACGAACGATCCCTGCCGAGTGGATGATCGGTGAGACAGTGATGAATCGTCGTCGTCGTGGTCGACGACACCTGGCTCCGTCGACCTCAGGATCGATCCGCGTATAATGATCGTCGTCGTTGTCGTCCGTGCCCGCGGTTACACGAGAAAGCCCTGCGAGGTGGCGGACATCTGCGCTCTAAGCGCCGTCACGCTGTTCATGATCTTCTTCTGGTGTCCGACGAGCGTGACTCCGAGCGCCGTCAACTCCTGAACGGTGACGCGGGCGGCCGCCTCCAGGGTGGTCACACCGGATCTCTCGAAGCTGTCCGCGTACCGGGACATCTTGATCGAGGCCAGCCACTCGCTGACCGAGGTCAGCTGCGTCAAGTCCACCGCGTCCGGCGCCAGTGGATTGGTGCCCCTGTCGAGAATTCAGCGTCAGTGGGGGGGGGGCAGGGTGAGGGGGAGGGTTTTAGGGGCGAGAGTCGAAGGTAGGGGAGATCGTAGCGAGGAACGCTACGCGGCGAACCAAAGACCTGGAGTTCGTTCTGGGGATCTACAGAGGCCCGCTGATCGGGTGTCTAAGGAACGGTAGATACGCGAAAGAACGTAGGCGCTATTTCTCGATAGGATATTATCTTCGAAGTATGGTCAGGCGCCTTCGTTTTTCCGCGTTTTCAGGTGCATAAAGAGCAGCAGCTTCGAGTTCATCGGTACCACTCCAGTAACGTTACACGCTGCCCTGGATCGGTTCGTACGGTGGGTTAGCTAGATATCGAGATACGCAATATGTACACGGATGATCGAATAATTGGAAAAACGATAAAACACACACATATACAGACGTCTCGAGTGTTCTGCTCGCGGGCAGGCTGACGACGATCTCTCTGGACGAGAGTCGTGGATCCGATGGTGATACGCGACAGCCATTCCGCGAGCAGAAATCAAAATTCAGGGTGGATCTGGATCGGTTAATCGGGGTCTAGGACGCTGAAGCGTGAGTCCAGTTTCCAGATAGTCTGCTACTGATTTCTAGGAGTAGTTACTCGGTTGGTGGTGGTCGTTCACTCGATTGACTTTTACGGGTATGGTGTATACATACCTACATATACATATATATACACGATATAAAATGGATCTTAGCCTAAGAGTCTGGGGGTTAGGGGGGCTGGAGGGTGGGAGGGTCGATAACGTATCTTTTATGTACACTTGGACCGTAGCTCGGCGAGTTTTCGCGACCGCGCCCGAATTCTTGGCCTGGTTACCGCGCCTTATCGGCCGACCGACGATCGAGGAATCGTTCGGTCGACTCTAAACCGTGCCGAGAAGGTGCGGGAGGGCGAGGTCGCGAAAGCTCGAGAGCCGTTTTCTCGTGGATCTCGTTGCGGACGATGATGGCTGCTGGGCACGAGAAGATCGATGGTGATGAGTGTGAGAATCGCTAATGGCGGCAATGAGAATACTATGACGGTTGGTGTGTGATCACGATTCACGGTTATACACAGAGCTCGGAGAAATTATTAGCTGGACGTTAATGTTACGTAGAATACGTGAATGGATAAATGGTGCGTACGAAGCAAGCAGTGCGAATACGAACTAAGAAGGGGTTACAAGCATAGCGAAAATGCTGTCTACACGTGGCAGCACAATACTCGTAGGTGAATCCAACGTGCCGAAGAAAGCAACGAGCCTCGCCATGGTGATTCGTGAGACGAGGAAATTTTCGAATCGTGAATGCAAAACGATAACGTTCCGTTAATTAGAAATCCGTCTCGTGTACGAAAAAAAAAGAACAACGTTCGAATCAGCAATTAGGCTCGTGGCTTCTCTCGGCCGTTTCGTAATTATTCTTTACTTGTTGGTCGACTGAAAGCTGTTCTTGAATATTTTACCTTTTCCTCAAATGCACGTTGGAGGATGTCGACGAGGCGGGTGGGGGTGGGGGTGGAGCACCCCTTTCCCTGATTCTGACAATTGTTAGCATTTGTTAGTGCGATGGAGGTCACACACTATAAAGTGTGTGCTTGCGTGTATGTATGTGTCCTGTACGCGCGCGCGCGCGCGCGTCCTTCTTGTCCATCCTGTACGCGTGTACGTGTTTGTTTGTGTGCATGCGTGCATGTATGTACGTATATATGTTATGTATGCGAACGTGTATGACACGTGTCCGTTACCTCGCGTCTCTCTTTCGGTCCGTTTCTGCGATTTCTCTCGAACGAGCGGGTCGTCGCGTGGTAGCGCGCGTCGTGGTTGTTGCGAAGCTCCTTTTATCGCGATTGTCCACGTAAGTAATAACTGAGGTAATGTACGCGCCTCGAACGAGTCGA